CGTGTGCTCTTCCGATCTGTAATATTTTATAAAAGACCAATGAATTTAATTCTCTTCGTTTCCAAACTTTTACACTTCTTTTTTTCCTTCTATCGCCATTTTATTTCTTTAATTCCTTTTTCTTTTAATCATTGTAAAAAACATGTTTCAACATATCTGTTGATTACAAAAGATATTGTTAGCAGTATTATATTTTTTTAATAATATTTTACTGATATCTGAAAGAAAAAAGTAAGACGAGAAATGAAAGTTATCGACTTAACAGGTCTTTTTTTAGATAGGACATGAGATATATGTAAGAGATATATAAAAGTAATGAAATATTTAATATGATATTTGTATTTGCGTGCGTGCGTGCGTTCATGTGTGTTATGTTTCAGGAATAGTGAACAAATGGCGCGCGCGAGGCGCGCGCTCTGTTTTGTTCTAGTAAATAAAAAGGTAAAAATATTACGATTTTATTAGCAGCGCATAGCAAAATTAAAACAAAGAAGTGTTTTCCGAGAGTTCACTTTTAGTTTCTTCTAGCACATAACTTTAATTAGCTTCTTGTTTCTGTTCGGAATTATAATTCGCGAAAATAAATTGCAAGTTGTAGTTAGTAATTGGACGATATCCATACATGAAACCATTCGTAAATTTGTAAATGTATTCGATATAGACTTTAGAATTAGTAATAATAATGAGATCGCAAGCAGAAACTCACCGATAGCGGCCACGGACTCTTCTCGCATGGCATAGCCAAGACTGTGACCGCAGCCTTAACCGCGCCAGGTCTGAACGGATAGTTAATGGCTTCCTGGTAAGCGTCGGTCAACTTGAAAGTGCCAAGCTCCAGTTGCAGTCTTTGCTCCAGGTATTTCAGCTGCTTCTCGGAATTGCCCTTCTTGGCCTCCTGTGGACATTCAAGTATCTCGCGTATTGAAAAAGTTCTCGAAAAGAACGAATATCTCGCGCGTTTTTTCTTTCTATTTTATATAATTTTGCAAAACCACAAAGAAGCTAATTACCTCGAGAGAAAGAATAGGCTCTGTTGACTTCTCGAATTTCATATTCTTCACATCGCCTTCGATGTTAGTGTTGCCGTTGGTGGTGTAGTGTTGTGGCCACTTCATGTGCTCGGCGAAACCGATTAAGCCGATGTGAACGTCCCTATTGAGATTTAATCAATATGAAAAGTAAGAAATATGCAATATGAAGTTTGCATCGCGATATGAATCCATACAGCTTATTCTGTTGTTACAAACGTCTTCTAAATATATCTTTAATTTGATTAATCTCTGATCTGCATATACTTGTGGAAATATTTCGATATTTTTATAATTACAAAAATAATGGTTACATACGTTACGCCGTGCTGTTTCAGTTCCTCTCTTAGATCAGTTATCAATGTCGGGATCAGATCTTTGAAAACTTTCTCATTTTCCTCAACTTGTTCGACTGCTATGACAATGTCGGCTTGATTCTTCGGGGCTTTGACGCTGAAGGTATCGCCAATGTCAATTGTCTTATCGCCAACTTTGCAGTTTGCTAAAATATTATGATACACATTAAAATATTAACCTTCTAAAAATCAGTGTCCGCATTGTAATTTTAAATCTCGCATTTATTCTTAAAACTGCCGTTTTATGCAAGTCTACAACCGACATAAAAAACATTTAATATTCCTATATCGCCGTACGTCATAAATAAGTTTATTTCCAACAAGAGATTTTGGTTTATCTTGCATTATAATACTGTATTAACGTCGTGTTCGATTCTATTCTTTGTAAAGTAGTACAAGTCAACAATTTAACTTACTGCAAGTGGATGGAATGCTTATTCCGAAAACACGCTTATAATAGCAAGTAGCGTAATAAGCGGTGGCGAGCAAGCAAGGAGCTTGCGGATTTCCGTTAGCCGCAGCGTCGCAAGCGTCTCGGTAATGAGTCGGATTAACGTAGTTGAAGCAGTTTCTAAAACATCACGGAGAAACATCATTTCCAAGTTGCCTCCAAGTTAACTCTAAGTCTAATAAAATGGTTACGACAATTATATTGTTTCGAGATATTCGTGGAATATCGCACTCAAATGTGTAATACGTAGGACGTTTCTAGGAATAAGATTTCAAAGTATGGATTACACCACAAGTGCTGTCTTGTTTGCTGAGACGACAAATGTACTTTATCTTATCGTCTTCTTATAAAGTTTTATTTGTTAAATCTCTCAAATGTTTAAAGAGAGAACTGAGCAAATGCACACTGAAGCGATGCCCATTTGAACTTTTCATCCCGAAACAGTTGAATTTGCGACATCATATTTTCTCTATGCAATCCGAACAATTTGGTTTAATCGTATCTTTATAAAGAGCGAATGTACTTACTTCAACGTAGACTTCTGGCCGGAGAAGTAGTCTGTGCAGACTGGATTACGTTGCTTCGTCTTGTGATCGATCGCGTTCACAGCCGCGCAATCGGGCTTCAGTTTGTATCCGTTAGCAAATTCAGTCTCGCTCTCGGTAATCTGTTTCAATTGCGAGAAAGGTGCTTTTAGAGATCACTGCAAGCACTGCAAATCCCTGCCGTCTTACGACGGTAAGATCCTTTCGTTGCAAAAACGCTCTCATCGTATTTATTTTTACTTTCGTAAGTAGAACATTCAATTTTATTCTCGTAGACAGAAGATGAAATTTTGCATACTGAAATATGACGTTCTTCATCTTTTTCACTTAAGGACACGCATATATATATACACACATATATTATATATATATATATATAAGTATATATAAGTATATATACATAGAAACGTTGGCCGTTCCAGTTTTCCCGCGTAAACTACGGACTTAGAAATATCTATCTCGCAACGAAAGAATGCTGATCTCCCTGGGAATTCGTGATCCCTTTGGGAAAGAATGCCGCTCCACGTAGATATTTGTCTATTGATCGAAGCGAAAACTTTTGAATAAAAGCAAAAGTATACAAAGAACATGATTTATAGTCTTGCGATATTACCACAAGGCTTTATGAATAGAAGCGCGACGCCCGAGAAAATGAGGGACGAGCTTCCGAGAGAGCAGAAAACAGATTATATTAAATATTTATAACGTGTGTACATTTTTCATTTCGCTTCCAGCATAATTAAGCTACCAATTCCGACTTTTCTTATTAATAGAATTAACTGAAGAAGGAGATAATATTTTTTACTTAATATTATTCCGCGGTAGGTATGCAAAGAAGCCACGCTTTCCTTTAATCGATCATATAATTAAAAAATAATTTATGAAATATCCGTTAACTTAAATCCTTTTACGAAATATTGTTGTGACGGTACATACCGACTTCTACCTCTGGTATTCAGCGCGAGAAGCTATTTATTTAATGGTAAAATAAGCTACACTCACCTTTCCGGACGGCAACGTGTAGTCGTCGTAATACTCGTTGTTGCCATCACCGAGAAGACCGCGTAATTTTCCGTGATAAAAGCCGGACACGCGGACCGTGCAAAGCATAGGATGTTTATAACTGCACAGGACGTGCACGCCGTAGTCGGACTTGACGTTCATAGTCGACTTGACGAGGAACGCGTGCAGATTCTTCGTGTGAGCTGGGAAATCGGCCGGCTTGTTGTTCACCAGGACCTGAAATAAAAAAAAAGGGAGACGCGCGAATGTAGTCGGGTGCGAAAACGTTGGGAGCGACGGAATCCGGGTCGAGAGAGGGTTTTTTGTGAAAAGAAACGTGAAACGCAAAAAAGAGAAGCGTGCGGAAATTGCGGAAAGCGGGGCGCGAGGTCGACGCGATTTCACGCTCGCGGCGACGGATGTCCGCGGAACGGGAGATGAACAACGGCGCGATTTTTATTCCTTCCTCGCTCAGTCCGTCTACAAGAGAAGCGACGCGAGGATAATAGAGTTTGACTTGTCAGCAAAGTTTGGAGCTCCCTTAGTAAACTTACAGAGTTACAGTTCAATACGGGATTGCATTATAAGACACGTACACGGAATACCGTATGAGAGCGATCTGGTGGTTTTCACCCACTCTCACCTACCCGCCCTTTCTCCCTCTCTCCCAACCCATTTGCCCCGTTCTCAATTCATGTCACATACGCCACCGACGTAACTTGCCGCCGCTATGGGAAATTGGTTAAGAGATAAGAGAAATAAACTTACGTTGCCATTGTTCTTCAGTGTGATGCTCTCTTTAGGCTCCGTAACGGTCACGCTAACGAGATTTCCTTTGTTAAAGTTGGCGACGACGGAGAAATTGCCGTCCTGCATGTCCTGGGCCAATATGTAAGTGCAATCGCCGGGCATACTGAGATGATTGCCGTCGAATGTAAAGATATGCCCACCGTCGACGACTATGCCGAATTTGCTGAAGGGAGGTATAATGTCGGAATACTGCAGAGTTGGCCTGTTTGAAAAACAAAAAAAAAAAGAATTAACATTGGTTAACATTAATATTACTGATTCTTGCAACGAATGCGTTTATCTTGAATTTTGATAAATACGAAATTGCAGTTTACAGGAAAGTACTGATATGTAATAAATAAAACTAGAAAGTCAGGTATATAAAGTGAAAAAAAAAGAAACCTGTAGGTGTAGTAGAGATCCGAGGGCGATGGTAATTCGTTATTGCGTAACAAATTGATGATAGACATTTTTACCGAGGTGATCACTGGCAATTTCGATAACGTTGCAAACTCAACGGGGAGATTAGCGTCGAACAATTCGTTTATCAGTTCGTCCAAGGAGCCTTTGTCCACAAGGTAGGTGAGAGACACAATGGCGTCGACCGCAAGATTATAGATCTTCCTGATCTCGCTGGTATTATCGACCTGCGCAAGACGAGTGCATTTTATTATTTCAGCAACTTCGCTATTTTAGCAATTTCGGGCCGTTTGAAGAGTACTGAAGAGTACCGTATCTGAAATGGCGAAGTGTGACGCAAGGCGGGTAGGAAAACTTACTTTCTCCTGTTTGACGTGCTTCATGATGTATTCATAAGCAGCAGAGAAGAACTGTCGAAGTTCCTCAGTCGGTAGCATGGCCTTTATGACCTCGCTGAGTTCGTGAATGGAGGCCAATACGGTTTCCGGAATTCTAAGGTTCACAAGGTCCTGATACTGCTCCTTGGCCATGTCGAAGACCGGTAACGCTTTCATTTGATTCTTCAACAAGACGGCGAACTCCTCGACGTCTTTCCTGATTTGAGCGACGGCTTTGAACACGATCTTGGCAACGTCCTGAGCGAGCTCCGAAGCCAAGGCCGCTAATTCCTTCAGCTCCTTCTGATGTTCATTAATCAGGGTGAGTATCGTCTTGAGATAGGCCATAGATACGTTGGCGACGCTATCGATGAAATTGATGTACGCATGGGCTATCTTGTTGTAGGATTCTTTAAGTTGAGGATAAACCGTATTCCATGCCTCTTCGATCTTATGGACTACCTCAACGTACTCTTTTTGAAGTTCGTTTAATCGCACGGTTATTTGCTTCATAGTATCCGCTACGGCCGTGATAACAGCTCCGAAGTATTTGTTCCTGAAAGAATACGATCGATATGTACACGCGCGACAATTCAATGAGACCCACGAATAATCGAATATAAATTTTACTTTATAAGGATATACATATGTATAATTACTATATGTATATATTGTGATAAACGTGTAATTTTATATACAGATATGTTACAAATATCTTTATTATTACCATTCATACATTTTTATAAAATTGTATGAATGTTAAGTATGACGTGAAATCGAAAGAAAAGACATAATTATTAAGTTCTTACAAGGTAGTCTGTATGTCTTTGATGGTCTGATCAGCATGGAGCTCATTTTTCAGCTTGTTCAGTTCGGCCTCGTAATACTCCAAGAGCGGCTTGATGTTCGGTTGGGCCTTCTTCAAATGTTCCACAAGATCTTTCAATTCTTGTTCTACTTCGTTGACGATCTCGTTGGTGACGTCCTTAAACTGTTTCAGCAGCTCGATGCCATGGCTTCGATAACGTTCCTAAATTTTATCAGTAAAATTAGTAAAGCGAAATTACTTCCGTCATATCGCATCGACGAAAATGTACTCACGACCGTGTAGACAACGTTGTCCTTGTTGTAGCCGAAGTCAGGTTTCAGGAATTTCTCTTCATCAAGGTGGATCAAAGCGTGGAACAAATCCTTTTTCGTTCCATCCTTGAAAGCGTCGGCATGAATCTCGGCCAGTTGTCCGAGCACAACACGTCCGTTGACGACAAGCTTCGTGTTGGGATTATCTGAGGGAAAACATCGAAAGATCAATTCGCATATTTATAATATAAAATATGACCAATGATTTTTTGTCATACATGATTAAATATAATAATAATAATTTTGCAGTCATATCAGGGTGTAATGATGACGATGATGATAATAATAATAATAATAATTTCGCAATTATATCAGGGTATAATATAAATTATAATGATACATATCATTAAAGCAAAAAGTATATAAAATATCTCCCTTCCCTCCGAGAATAAAATATTTAATTCAGAATAAATTTTACCTTTCAGGTATTCCGAATAAGTGAAGCTGTTCCAATCATGCGCTTCGAAGCTAGATACGATAGGTTTGTTACCCACAATCGCGACTTCCGTATCAAACTTCTGCAGATTTTTCGTAAATTGCATTTTTGTGTCGACTCTAAGGAGCTCCTTGTTAGGCGAGGTCATAATAAGATATACTTCCGTGGGATCCGCAGCGAACAGAACGCCCACGCTCTTCGGCTTCTGATGCACGTCCGTGTACGACAGCATGCTGCCGAAACCGAATTTGGTATCCGAGATCGCCAAGTGCGATTTCAGATCGACTTTAAGTTGTTGCCCACGGCTGTTCACTTCGATCAGGCTGGTGATATTGTGACCCTTCTCGATATTCTGTCGGTTCAATTTTGCCACCACGTTGATCTTCTGCGTTTTCTTGGCAAAAACATCGATATCCACGTTCGCGTCAAGCAGGTGTTCGCCGCCGTAGTGAATTTTACCTTTCACTGCCATATCCTGATTGAGAGAAATATACACGTTCGATGTGTGATTTGAAAACCAAATAACAAACTATTTAACTGGCAATTGGTCCAAAATTGCGAGAATGCGATAAAAATGAAAAACAAGCTGAACATGTAAACGTAAATCGACAGAGAATGTATTATATTGCCCTTTTTATAGCCGAGTGGCTCGATGAAACTCGACGTTCTCGCTAGATTGCGAGAAAATCGACAATAAAGGCTTTGCCGAGGTGCGTTTTCTGTCTCTCTCTCTCTCTCTTTTTCTCTCGTTTTATATAAAAGCTTTGACCTTATTCGCGCAAAAATTGGAAGCAAATTGGAAATGCTTTTTTAGTTAAATTTTTGTTTAACATCGAACGTCATTCAATGTAATTTCTACGTATAAATTTAAAAATCTCGGACGTCATTCGATGTAATTTCTATGTATAGATTTAGATGCCTCTTTGTGAAAATATATCCGGCGACGTACCTTTGGCTGAGACGGATATATGAATTTGACTTCTCCGCTGACAGATCCGCTGTTCTTCTCGATATTAATGTCACCGGTGGCGGCTAGACCAGTCTTATCGGATGGCTTGTTCTTCCTGTCCAAATAAACGGAAACATCGACCTTGAATGCTCCGGTTTGCTTTGTCTTCGGCAAGTCGAATGTACCAATGACAGCGAGTTCACGATTAGGTAAAGTCAGAATGGCAGCTGAAACAAATATAAAAATTTTTAATTTTTCACCGCAACGATTAATCTTGAAGTTGGAACATGCGCGTAATTGCGCGACAATATTTATCGCTTCGATTAATAAAGATTACTAATAGCCAAGCGGAGTTTTCTTACCGCTTTCCTTAGGATGAATGTAGACTTTGTAGGCATACTGGGACTTATCCTTCGACGAGTGTAAGTACAAGTTGGCAGAGTGATCGAGTTTGGATTCTTTGACTTCGGTGCTCGTTTTCAATCCAAATTCAGCTGGCACGTTGAATTTCTTTAAGTCTACTTCTACCGTTAATTCATGATTCAAGTAATTCTTGTCTGTGAAACAAACGAAAATATGAATTACGGAAATTGTCGTGCGAAAAATCGGAAGGGCATCGATCCATTTTTTTTTTCGACTTTACGTTCCTGATATTTAGCTACAGCAATTAACAATAACAAAAATTTTTACTAGATCTAAAGTTATGAAATTATTATCAAATAAAATTAGGTGATTGAAACCATTAGACCAATTAAAAGAGTCCAGTGACATTTCAGAGATAAAATCGACAATTATGGTAAAATTATAAGAGAACGATGAGTATTGTATATTTTACAAAGTACAGTCGGGCAATTGTAAAAGGATAACATATTAACGCTCCTCATTGGAAACTCGTTACGTTCGCTCCATTTACATGCAGGCAGCTTTTTTGCACGATGTTAATCGCGGAAATTTTATTTCCGTAAATTCTCGAGGCCCGGCAGGCCACAGCCGCCAAATTGATCCCGAGGGAGGGAAGGGTAGGGGAGTGAGAAAAAAAATAAAACGAAGTAAACTTTATCGCGCTACACGTCATCGCGGTGCTAGAAAGGATTAAGACGCGTGTACGTCAGCGGAGCACACGCCCTTGCGGCGTGACGTCATTCCGCACCGCCGGGCAACTTCTTTTTTTTTCCTTGTGTATCGCCCCGTGTATAACTCCGCCACCACCCGCCACCACCCGGCAGTGGTCACGCCTGTCCTCTCGCATCGCGATCTTCGCGACGCGATCTCATCAAGGGTGGGAAAAAAAAAGACGGAAAAAAACGAGAAAAGGAGAGAAAAGAAGGGGGGAAAAAAAGAATGAATTGTGCACTCGAGTTAATGCGGCGGCACGCTGCCGTCGCTTGCAACCGCTCTCCACCACTTCCTCCACCACCACCACCACCGTCACCACCACCAACCGCAACGTCGTCGCGTATAGGGATGCAATTCCCGAGCTCTATTAATAACTGAGGCGAGGCACGAATTAGGCGCAGATCACGCGAGAATAGAACGTCTATCGACCGAGATCCGCGGTAGGCCCTGCGAATAAGGGGTAGAAATACAGCAAGGCATGTATCCTTCCCTACGAAATTCCATCGTACATAAGTGTGCACGTGCGTATGTACGTGCGTGCGTACGTACGTACGTACGTACCTATACGTACGGGGATTGCGACGTGTTGCGCACTCATGCGAAACACGCACGCGGCAGACGGGTTATATGGCGAGGACGATACGATACTTCCACGCGTTGTCGGTGGACGGTCCAGTCACTGTCGGGAGGTTTCTCTAATTATTCAGAATGGGGTGGATCCGCGTGTACGGATGGAGGCCGCGATAAGGATGATTTCCTGGGAGACGCCGGGGAACGATATCGTTCGGTGTCTCTTGCGCGACTTGGGAGAGTTTATTATTATCACACGGTCTCCGTGTATCCTCTCTTTTGCATTTTTACGAATTCAGGCGAACTCGTTGCGACGAAGCGTGTCTTAATAAAGGATCGGCCCGGCACGCAAAGCGAGGTGGCGTATTTCCACAGGAGCGCCTTCTTTATTTATGAAAGGCTTTTTATTACGGGCATATTGCTGAACTCAACGTTGTAATTTTCGTTTCATCGAGATTAAACGGGAGCACACGCTAATAGTAAATTATTAATATATTATATTTGCACTTGACAACGTTATTGTAGTAGCATTATTATAATGCTATTATTATTATAGCATTATAATAATAACACATTGTTACTTTCATCAACCATAAATTTTCTATAGCTATCTCTGTTTGAGACCGTCAACGAAAAAGAAATAACAAAAAGGAGAATTTGAGAGAAAAAAATATAAGTATATTGCAAAATGTAAATCTGCAGTAAAAACAAATAAAAAAAAAAGAGATTGAATTTAAAGAGATTGACATATTTGATTGCAAACAGTCTAAATCTAATCTTATTTGGCAAACACGATTTTAGAGATAATATATATGCGAGCTGCCTGACTTACGACGATTACAATCCTCTTTCCAAGGGAAATAATCAGCCTAGCATGAAATTTGACTTACTGTCGGTGTCGTAGCTCGATTGAAGCTTGAAATGAGCGCAATCCTTGCTCTGCTCGCAGTAGCTGTTGAAAACGAGGACCTCTTTGTTCGAGAGCTTCAGCTCGCCCACGATAGCCGCCGGATCGAACTTGGCGTTCAGGACGATTACCACGCCGGATTCGCCATCCTTCTCGCGAGTCAATTGCTGGCGAGTATACTTGAAGGAGGAGCTTCTTGTGTCCTCACCTATCTTGAGATTGCCGCTTCCCTCGATGGTGATTTTACCCGCCTCGTCGCGTTTCTTGTAGTTTGTGCTACGAGTAAATCATAAGCTTGCCTTAAATATAATACATTCGTTTACCTTTCTTTGGCGCATCGCATCGTCTCTTTATTCTATTTTAAATTTTATTTTAAATTTCAATATTTCCTGAGCCCTCTTTGTGAAATTGTATTTACAGGGGAAAATATACCTCCGGGGTATATATATAGAATAAACTGGTACTTTTGAATATCCCAAGGACTAAATTGCGATCAAAATTGCGCGCGACGCGTTCTCGTTTTTTTTTACCGTTCTTTTATTCGAATATATCAATATTTTTATTAGGTGATGAGAATAAATGTTTGTAATGCTTTTTATAACGCCACACGATCGATAATACTCTACATTTTCGACTAAACCGCTTAACCTCTTTTTATACATTTTACGATTCGATCGAGGTGATTTCGATAGGACGCGAATAAAAAGGACTGGCAGTCGGAATGTATTCTCGGAAACCACTTGAATTAATTTTAGCGGGTGAATCGATGAAATTACATAGCGGGGTGAACGGAGATACGACTTCTGTCGTATCTCTGATCTCCTTTAAAAACGACCTCGCGGCCTCTCGTTAATTACTTGAAGACATCTTTTATTCCTTGTTTTGTCGTCGCGTGGACGATCGATTCTTGCGCGTACGCGCAAGAGATGTATATATCCGTATCGCCGTCAGAAAACACCGTTTAAAATTACTGCTGCGGGAATATCGACCTTAGCAGAAGCGACGGAATCGCTAATGGGAATTAGGATTGTCAAGAGAGCGAATTGTACAGTTCTTGTGTTCTAAAGACGGCCTCGTCTTCGCGCGCTTGTATAAATTGTTTTCTCGTCCGAGTCGTCATTAGATTATTAACGTCCATTATTAACGCCCATTATTAACGTTAAGATACTCACGTAGGATCATATTGTTTCGGATTGTTACACGAATTGATCGCAGCACGCACGTTTTGTCGTTTTCTACGTACGAAACGTTATACACGTACCTTCCAGTCACGATGTTTTTGCCGTCGCTGGTGACGGTGATGATTATCCGCCTGCCGGTCTTGACGGCGGGTTTGTTGGCGATTTCGGCGTGAATCTTACGGTGCTTGATCGTATTGCTGTCCAAATTAATGTTAATCACGAAATTGTCGATGCTCTCCAGATTGACGTGCGCGTCGGCATTGGCGAAGCCTTTCGGCGTCTCGACCTTCCATTCGCCTGAAAACGAATTCGTTAAGCTCGCGTATCATCTAGAAGTACGTATGTATAAGCCGACGGTTTTACTTTTATAAATAAGAGAATATGCATATATCGTACATTATATTCCATGGAAATAAGAGTATAAAACGGACTTAACAAGGATATCCTTGAATTCGATGAAAATTTACCTGTGTATTCTTGATCGCCAAGTTTGTTGATTTTCGAGAACAATTCGGTTTTTCCCGCCGGGCAAGTCATAATTATGTGCATCATCGGAGAGATGATGCCGCCTTGAATTTCGCTCTTGAGCGTGTACTTCACATTGTCTAGGGTCAAGGCTGCGTCGGTTTTCCTCACATGCCCGTCCTTTTCTCTCTTAAAAGATAAATAGAGGAAAAATTAGATGCGCGTGATAGATAGACAGTGTCATCCTGCGGCAATCTCGTCGGGCACCGTAAACTTTATTTCGTCTTTAAACAGCACGCTGCTTACGTCACCAGCGGTAAACTATTATAAATGACGCAACGTGGAGAGTATCACGGGGGAGCAATATCTGACCGGAATAATTTCCGAGATATTTGCACACGATCCAGTTAGCTACGATCGTAATCAGTGAGACGCGGAGGATCTCAGTTTAAATCTTAGGAAAAGTTTAAATCTTAAGAATTTTCTAGATACAAAGAATAATTAACAGCATTGTATAAAAAAACGGTACCTCGTGCTTGAGTTCAAGGTCGATATTATGCAGCTTCTCGTATGGGGTGGTGGCCTTGGCCTTTACGTCAATGTGCGTCAAATCGTGATTATATGTGACAGGGTTGAGCGCAAGGGTTATCTCCTTCTGGTCGTACTTGACGTTCGTGTTGGTGGTAATCGTCACCTTGTCGCCGTCAGGTTCGTACTTGAATTGATCGTGGAAACTGATAGGCGGAGTCTTGAGGATGGCCAGATCGAGTTGCAGGTCGCTCTCGTAAGGATGCTCGCCGTCGCTAATTCCAGAGCTCTTGAAGGCGCCCTTGATCTTGACAGATTTGTCGTCGTTGTAAGTGAGCACCGTCGATCCCTTGAGATCAACAATACCGGCCGTTTCGGGTTGGATCAGCAGATCGTGGTCGAAGTCGAGCTTGACGTTACGCAACTTCTCCGACGGCAATATCAGCTCCGTGTTACCTTTGATCTTACAGGGCGTGTCAACGTCATTGCCGGGAACGTAGTTTCCAGAACTCTGCGAACGATAACACAGATTTACGCACCTACAGTTTTTTAGACACTCAGTTTTTTAGACACTCAGTTTTATAGACACTCGCCGTGCCCGTATCCATGACAGGAGAGGTATGAAAAAAGTTATTACGCTTACCTTCAGTTGGAGATTCTTGCCATAGGAAGAGGCACACGTGTAAGACAGTTCGCCGTTATTATTTTCGGTCTCTTCATATTGCAGATTGAACGGTTGCGGCATACGCGATCCCGACAGATTCAAGTCGAACCCTTGCACTTCCTTGTGGCTGTCGGTGTCGACAAGATTCTTGAACTTCAAATCGAATTGTCCGTTGTTACCGTTTAAGTCGATGGCCTTCAGTTGAAGCTTACCCTGTCCTGTGTATGTTTTCCAATCGAAGTCCGTGACATCTTCAACGTACGTGAGTTTTTGCGATTTGCCACCTTTAGATTCGTGGTCTTCTAATTCGGCAGTTAAGTGAACGGTATACTTATTATTGCTATTCTTCTTGGACGTGTGCTTCAAGTTACTAGTCAAGTAACGGCCGTTTGGCAGTGTGACATCCGTTTCGATTTCCAGCTCGCCATCGTGGATGGGGCCATTCAACTTGCCCTTGCCATTCAGCTCGAGCTTGTATGTCATTATCTCGAGCACGTTCTTCGAGTCTATGGCATTTTTCTTTATATCGTTCATGGTGGATAGTTTAATGCGTTTTTTCGGGTCTTTCTCCGCGTCGAATAGAAGCTCAAAGTCGCCGTTATGTTGCGTGCCGGTCACCGTCAAGTCGCCGGTTCCCTGGATCTTCCGATTGATCTTCGGCAAGTTAATGTTGAGCTGCACTTTACCTTTGCCGTTCTGCATCGACATTTGTCCCGTGGCGTCCAAATAATTCTTCACGTGCAACTTCAAATTGCCTTGAGGATTCGCGCCTTGTTTCTGCAGCTTCAGATCGAAATCGACATATTGGACGTCGTTGACATTGACTTTCACTTCTGAATGGACATTATTGGGATGCTCGACATTCAAACTGGCAATAACTTTGGCCTTTTTATTGTCCAACTTCAGGTCGCTGTCCACCGCAAAGTTTATGTTTTTGTTATTCTTGTCGAAATTATACGTGACCAATGCATCGGCCTCATATTTACCCCCCGGTACGAGCTCGAGCTTGTTCTCGTACTTGCTCTTGTGCGGATCAATAACCGTACGCTTGGACTCGAATTTGATGCTGTTCTGCAAAAGCTCGCCTTTGAATTCGACCTCGTAATCACCTGGTTTAACCTTGTTTTGCTCGGCGGATAGCTTTGAGCCCAACTTGAATTTATCATAAGCGACTTCGACCTCGCTATTGATAGAATTAGGTTTAACCTTGCCGGTGAGCTCCAATTTCAACTTCGCGGCGGGATATGAGATCTTGGTAGAACCACCCACGACGAAGTTCAACCCGTCCTGATTCGGTTTAGCGATTGCGTGATGTTCGAGGCTGAAACGGTTTATCTTGGAATCCTGATCCGGACCGTGAATAAAGATCAGATTGTACTTGTACGAATACGGTTCTCTCTGGAGCTCGGACTGGATGTTGAATCCGATATTCGGGTCCTTCGACGGCAATGCCGAAAGGTTGATGGAGTAGTACTTATCCTCCTTTTTCTTCGCTTGCAACTTGAGAGCGACAGATTCCTCGCCGTAATTCACCTTCATGTCCAAACCTGCGGCCTCTTTCGCAGAGTTAACGTAACCGTCGAAACCGATGATCTTCTGACCGCTCGCGACGAGAGCCACTTTGTCGAATATGTATTTTTTGCCGCCATCGTGATCGGCCACTTCAACGCTACCTTGTACCTCGTACTGCTGACCGCCTTTGGACGGTTTCAAACCGGATTTGGTGGCCGCCAATTTCTCGATGTGCTCTGGTACTCTGTACTCTAAGATGGGCTTGTACTTGGAACCGTCGGCCAAGAGACCGACGCGCCCGTAGTACTCCTGATTATCATTGTGCATGGTGATCATAAGTGAGCGCTCCTGTTGTTCTTCTTTTATTACCGCTTCGATGGAGGCTTTCTTGAAGGGAGAATCGAAAGCTAGTTTGGCGTGCTTGTTGGGCTCGACAGCGACTTCTCCGGTGAGAGACACGCGTCTCTTGGTTTTACTGTTTGGTGTCTCTAGCAAGATCTCAAACGATCTAGATTTGGGTGACTTATCGTGATAGATTTTCAGATGGATAGTGGATAAATCGATGTTGTCGTTAGTAAGACTGAATTTCGATGGACCGTTCAGGGGAAAGAATGCTCTTTTCTGCACCGATTCCATGCCGTCGTAAGGGAATTCTACGTGGCCGCAAATTGTTATACCCACAATACTGGATAGCTGTTCGAAGCAGTCTTTATATACCTTACCCTTGCCGAATTTTGCAGGTTTGTACGTATCTCCAGAACTCATGAGGATCTCGCTACTAAGGCTTATTATTTCCTCTTTTTTCTTCGGCGCGCCAACGACTATGTCGATACCTTTTCCGTCCAATAGTTTTATCTTGAAATCGGTCGCCGTGTCAGTGTGCAACGTACTGACGAGTTTCATACCCGATTCCACATCGAATCCTTTAACGACCATGCTGCCAGCAACACGAATGGAGGCAGCCGGCTCTAAGCCGAAGTGTACATCGGCGTTATCCGGGTTGCTTAGGATAGCCGGAATATCTATCTTACCGTATGTTTTTATGTGCACCACGCTGGTACCGATCACGCTGACAGAGAGGGCCGTACCGAGATTCGTCGGATAGACGATCTCCTCGTCGAGGAACTGCATGCGATTCTGCAGATTGTAATCGAACTTCTTTATCTTGTTGATCTCACCCTCAAGGTTGTCGAACAGCTTGTCGATGATGTGTTCCGGCGTGAACTCCGCGGGATTACCGTCGTAAGTCAGATAGGCCAGTTCGACGCCAAACAGCTTGACGGACAGATCGAAGTCGAGCTGCTGGTCTACTTCGTTGTTCCTTAATTTCACACCCTTGGCGAATTTGTCGAGTTCTCCCTGCTTAACTTCACGCTTGCCACGCAGCTTGCTGACCTTCTCTTTGATGTATTCAGCGATATGCGTTCCTCTGTCTACTCCCTTATCTATCAAGTCGTCCACTTCGTGTTGCGTCAAGCGACCCTTGGGACCGAAGTAATGTTCGATCAATCTATCGAGATTCTCGATACGCGTGTTGAGCTCTAAGAAGTTGAAGGATCTTCCGAACACCTCGGTGGTCAAGTTTAGATTGACGGAGCGTGGCACGAAGCTATTCTGACTATAAATGACGTTACTTTCCGCGGAGGAACCGACTCCAATACCACCTACATTATACGACAATTCATTATTGAACGAAAATTTGCGGAAGTCCTCTGGGAATTTGGTTCGTGATTTGATCTGTCCAAGATGCCTCTTCGCCTCGGCTTTACTCGGATCAGCAGACGCTCGCAGATTACGCAAATGACTCTGAATGAAAGAGCCGACTTGATTAACCGTTTCCTTGTCTAAAGTCTCCTTGAGACTGCTGGCGACATGTTGACAGGGACAAGCGACCAAAGACAGATAAGACTTGATCCTGATCTCGCTGTCCTCTTCGCGATCGCCCAGAACCTTCAGAAGGATATTTTTCCACTTCATGGTGCAGCGATTAGGCAAAGTCTCGACCGCGGCAACTCTTACTCGGTTGCGGACGTTCTTGTCCTCGGCAATACCGGCCAATTTCTGCAGAGTGGCATCGTCAAGATATTTGGTGTTACCTAGCGCCTTTAAAGCCGAGACTATGAGATTTTCCTGTTCCCTGGTCTTTGCTTTCCCATTGCCAACCTTCTCGCGGATCTTGTGGATGGCCTGCTTGACTTCGGCTATGTTCTCGCAAGTGTGCTCCTGGCAGTACTTACCGATCACTTGACCGATTCCGAGGTAGCCCAGACGCGGTACGTTTGGCTGATCAAGAAGCGAAGTGACGGCAGTCACTGACGGTAAGTTAACGTGATCGACGAGAGCGAGACTCGCGTAGAACACGAGCGCCTGGACGCCGGTAAGCTCGTGACTCTTTAATAAGTCCACGACCACCTCCGCAGCTTCGCCGCTTCCGGTGCGGAAGAGGGCGTCCAGGAAAATCTTCTTGTCCAGGACCTTGTCGAAACCGTTGCCGGCTTTAACTTTCTGGTAAATTGCGAGAATGTCGTTCTTGCTGCTGAGACGAAGGACTCTGAGGAGCTGTGCAAACTTTTCCGCCGCGTCATGTTTCACGCCGTCATGCTCTTCGGCGCTCACTGCCTTCAAAGCCGTGGCGATACTGTCGGCCGACGATTTGACAACGGGATGCGGCGCTTCGAAGATCAGGGATCTCGGCTGGGAAACTGGGGCGTTCGGGTTGTCACCCTTCTCGCCCTTCAGCGTCAGAGTGGTCTGCACGATTGTCTTAGCGCCAATGTCTCCGTTGCTCCAGGGTTTCAATTTGTACGTTTCGACCGAGGTCGCTTTGTTCAGGATACCACGCTTGAAACGTTGCTCGATCTTTTGGTGCGATGACAGCAACGGGGCCGCTTGGATGTCCGATTTCGCGTCGTAGATCGCGGACACAGGACCATTTCTGATGCTCTCACGATGGGAGCAGCGAATCAGATCCCTCTCCTTGTGGATAACTAACGAATCGCCATCTTTGTGAAAACTGAAGTCAGTCGGACAACCGCCGAGTACGTCGACCTAAGAATATATAACAGAAAACAGTGCGTTGATATACATAGTTTTTTATTGGAACTTTAATACATGAATTAATAAAGGAGAATCAAGACAAGTTATACCTCATGATGAGTTGTAGAGCCAGATTCTTGTATGACGGCTGATTGGAATAAGGACGCGACCGCTCTTTTGATGTTGAGAGACGCCTGCGAGTCACCGGGTTCGGTACAGACTTCCGTATCGATATGGCCATCGTGATAGTTGAATTGTAGCGCATACTTTTCAACATCTGACAGCAATATTGGCTAAAAAATACATATATTTTGCAACTTATAAATGCGAAAAAAGAAGAATGTATAAAAGTATTTATATCACGAAACTATAGACTATATATAATAATTCAACGTTTGTAAATGACAGTAAATTTTATGTGCACCTAGTAATTGAACACAAATCATATAAACTATCGTGAATTAATTCCCGTTGAGAGCATTCAATTAAAAGTTTTTATTACGAAGAGTTATTTAAGCGGAATTATATTAGAAGTTCTTTAATATTTTTGAAATAGATCGTAACCACACCTTCGGGCTTCATATTTCTCTATTTCTACTTCCTTCTTTGTATATTTATTTTTTACAATATTTATAGCACAGATATTTTAGGAATACGCGATATAGACAAAAAAATACTTACGGCTCCATTGATTGATACGCCCTTCAATCGGAGCTGTCGAATACAATCAGGCTTTACCGACAATTCAACAGTACCCTCTAGTTTCAAGGTGGCATCACCCTGAGCATCGGGGACCGATGTTACAGACGTTCCTTCCAAATTGTATATATATGTATGTCCTTCTTGATAGGCTTTACCTCCGTGCACTGAATAAAATCACACAAGAGAATATATAAATTAAATCTATATATGAATGAAATCGATTGATTTATTTGTATCTTCTCAATTTATTCAATGAGACGTTTTACAAATAATAGCGAAAATTTTTTTTATGATTTATAAAGATATTATACTTACTTCCATGGCAGCCGACTGTACATTTATCTATAACAAAAGAAAAATTATATGTCACTTTTTCGTAATAACTTTAAAAATATACATTTCTCTCTTTTTCTCCCTCTCTCTCCTCTTTCTCTCTCTCTCTCTCTTCTTTCTCTGATATTATTTATATTAATTATTAAAGTAATACAAATTACACGATAGAAAAGATGGAAAACATTATTTCTTCCTTTTTTACACTGATCAGAAATGTGCTTGCGGAGAAATATAAAAAAGAAAATGATAAAAACATGACACAAAATGATAAAAACGCAAAATTTTAGATTATTTCAATTTTCGGATTTCATCAAAATACGAATTTAAGTGGGGGAGAAAAAAACAGACGGGCCATAATCTATTATGCTTGACGTACAGATTACGTCGAAAAAAATATATTTATGTATCAAGTGAACTCGGTGCTAGGGTCGAACGTCGATAACGTGCTGTTAATCGTGACTTTCTTGACCCTGGACCATGGAACTTCCATTTTTGTTCGATAGAGCGGTGTTGGTACCAGCGGACCAACAGATTTAATGGTGTGCCACAATAGTTTCACCCTTTAACATTTAAATTGATTCGAACGAAGCCGATGTGACTTTTGGAGCGGGAGCTATAAAAGGTAACATATCAATCAATTGCAGTACCTGTAGTAATTTGACATTTACGTTATGCTCTTTTTAGTCTGTCGAATCTTTCAATTCGTGCGAATTTTACGTTGTGCAAAAAGGCTATTTATCATTATTTATTATTATATTATACTCGACTTTTAAATACAAGTATATACGTATTTAACATTAAATATTTTTCAAATATTAAATCACATTAATCATTCATTTTATAATAACGTAATATAACGTAAAACGCATTAATTTTATATTAAGTATTGCATAGAATTATCAATCAGTACTTAATATTGATATTTGTTAGCGTTGCGAACTGGCTTTTATCTCTGATTTCACTTTATCTCGCTTTTTTATTCTGGAAAATAACACCGATGGCAAAATTCATAGGCGAGCACAAACAAGAAGACATGACATGACATAAATATAGTTGACTCAGTATACACGAAAAAGTATACGCATCTTTTACAGAATATTGATTATATAATTTTACTAAATAAGATAAACAGGTTGTATTCTATTGAGCTAATTGATGTGTCTTACTAACGATATAGTCTCCATACCAGCTTCCTTCGAGATAAAAGACAAGTTATTGGGTCAATAGTGTGAAGAAATAACGGATGTCATTAAGCGATCATGGCGGAAGTTTAAAGTTCACAAACTGTATCTATCGCGAAAATATTAATATCAATTTTATTAGACTCAGAAATTACATATCTATTTCGCAATGTATCGCAAAACCCTAGATATTTAAGCAATAAAAATTAATATCGTAAAATTTTAAAATATTTAAAAATATTATTTAGGTTTGTAGACAACTTTTTTTGCAAAGAGGAATTAATTATTTTTATTTATACTTATTTCAATATATATAATTGTTTATCTTATTCGCTATATTACATTTGTTCAAATATTTACAAAATTTGAGAGAGAGAGAGAGAGAGAGAGAGAGAGAGAGAGAGTAAAATAACAGCGACCGAATAAATAAAGAGAAAAAGAGATAGATGAGGTGCAACGAGAGAAAGGGAAGGCGTTCCTTCAATGGGGACAAAGGGATAACAAAGGGATAAAGAACGACGCGTGCGAAAAGAGGAGGAGGAGGTGAAGGAAAGTGGGAGTCTCGCGCGCGAGAATAGACCAAAAGAAGGATGAATCTATTCGGTGAAGATGTACATTGTTTCTCTACAACGACGCCGCGAACACCGACGATCAATCCCCATTCTCTAATCGTCGTCATTCTGACGGCAATCTACGTCGAAATATTCACGCGGCGATTCCTCTTTATTACTATCGAACCGTCGGAATTTAACGTTTTATCCGGCAACGTGCCGAGACATTCCTTTGAAATTGTATTAGCACTTTTATTTCTCTCAGTTGCTTCCTATCTTCCGCTCTTCTATATTATTTACCCTTTGACTCGGAATCGAGTTTTTCCGAGCAACAAACAAGATATTTATAGGAACAGCTGATCATTTTTAGATATAATCGATTAAACATTTCGCAAATTATTCTTTAGATAGGTAGACGGGTAAATATACTTTATATTTAGATTTTATTAGTGAAATTTTTATTTATTATTAGAGCTCCAAAAAGAAAAAAAATACTTTGAAAATTAAAGAAATAATATTTATCTAAATGTCCCTTCTTGAGGAAGCCAACTCAAAATTACACACGGAATGCGCAGAACACAATTCGTGGATCAAACTTCTAATTATGCTCTTTAAATGTTATTTCGTCGACTGAATAATACAACGCCGACAGATGTACACAATGTGAAATGTACCGGCGCGCTTAGGGAGAGAGACTCTCGCCGGGATTTTGCTGTAATCTAACAATTGCAACCATAATTTCTCTCGCGTTGCTTGCTCCCCGATGCGCGCTGCATGATTAGAGGTGCTCCGTTCTCGTTATATTATACTTAAACGTATGCATTATGCAAATTCGCGGCGAACGACAGAGAGTATCCACTTTCATATTTCATACTCAGGGGCGCTGTATCTTTCTCGCATTATTTCACGGCGCGTTTAAACGTCGATCCTTCTCCACGATGAACCCGCATTCTCTGCTCGTATTTTTAACCCGACAATCGCGCTTCCATTTCTCGCATACAGACGCGCCATTGTAATCATTTATCACGGAATTTAATGCGCCTTCAATGGCCGTTGAGTGACTCGATATAACGGGGAGATGTTACGGTTGAAGGGATATTTATATGAAAAAAAAAAAGTTGAACTCTCTCTCTCTCTCTCGCGGCATTGTTTCTATTTTCTAGCGAAAAAAAATACGGTGACCGCGTAACCGAGGCAATTGGAAAAAATGTATCGTATCACGCTGGCGGAAAAGCGACGATCGCAATCGAAGCTCGGCTCGATGCCATTTCACTTGAAAGAACCGCCGCGGAGAGAACCGGCGCGATTGTCCCGCAATCGTTTATACGCTCCCTTTACGTACTTTAAAACGCGGCGGTGAAAGAACGTTTGTTACGTCGCAACGGTCAGATCGGATCTATTTTACTGGGATGTAGGGACGTCAGATCAATTTACCAAATGTCCGGTCGAACACGGGGGACCTGTAATCGTTTCAATGATACGGACCTCGTTCCGAGCGCCGATACGCCATGCGCGAACTCTTTAACCACTATTTCGTTACTTCTACGAACGAAGCAAGAGAACTCCGAGACGTTCGCCACGGGTTCGAGTTCCGTTCCTCCGTTAGTTGCATCCATCATTACTTCAGAAATACGATTGCATATTCACGCCGTATAAACGATATTACGATTACTCAATCTTGCCTTTCGAGCTTATTTTCCCCGATAATTTACTCGCGTGCGAAAAAAAAGTGAAAGAAAACGTATTGACGCTTCCCGTGATTTTACGGTTAACGCGGGAATATAAATTCGAAAGTGAATGCCGGCGTGCCGGGAAGTCTAGCATTCAAGAGACATTTTACGAAAACAGGATCATAAATGATTCTCATATATCTCGTGTGATTGTTTTAGTGTACGTAATATATTAGTTTACGCTAATGCACGTGATTACTCGAGATTAGCTCGAACAACACCAAACAATCGAAGGAAGAAATATAGAGGCACGATAAAGTGTTATCAATGCTATAGCGATACATGGGGTAAAGGGGGTTTCTCATATCGAGTTTGAGAGCAAAAAACATAAAATCGGTTATTACGGAATAAGCAACATTTTATCGCCAGCTCCCTGCCGGATGGAATAATAATAATAATAACAATAATAATCTGTAACCAACCCGGTGGAACGTACATTCACTTTTATTCATGCGCGATACACGAATATATCTGAAAAATTAATGCGCTTGCCCTTTCGTTATTTGTTAAAATAAAAGCGCTCGCTAAAGAGAGTTTTCATTCATTCCATTCATTACTTATCTTGTGCAATTTTGCGGAAAATTGAAGAACTGATTTTCCGTATATCTACAACTACCTTCCGCAAAATTACTTCACTGGTCGTTACGTTTTGCTTGAAACATAATTCAATCTAAAACGTTCCTGTTTGTTAATGGAAGCCTCCGGCATTTCTCTTCCTCCTTTATCCCGGTAATGTAATCGAAAGAACAATTTTCTTTAATCTTCCTCCAGTAATAAGAAAGCATTAAACACGTTTCGCCGATAAAAACTTCCATACTTCATTCACAAACATAAAAGAAGCACGCGCGCGGAATTGTCGACTTTGATTGTTAATTAAGTTCTGGAGTAAAATGTAATTTAACCGGGGAATGAAAAATTATATGTCGATAACGCAAATAATATCACGTCAATGAATAAATTACTGCAGTTAAAGGTGATAAAAGGTGCGAGGATTTCGCTTTCAGAAGATAACGCTTTTTTTTTCTCGCGCTATTACGAGGGAGATTAAGATAAATCTAACATCATGTTAGATAAATACATCACGAAAGCTACATCAGAGATAAATTTTTATTAATCGTATTGGAATTATAACGAAGGAGCGCATAAAAAAGAAGCATATCGTTATCTGTAGTTCTTCGCGTTAATCGCCAATGGAACAATGGCGCAGATAAAGCGAATATCACGAATCTTTCGGGATCCTATAGTTCACGAAAATATCATCGATTTCGACATCCATTCGCGACGATAATCTCTATCCTTGACACAGCGAGTAACCTTATGATATTCAAACCTGACCGCGCCGAGCGCGTTGACCCTTTCTATCAACACTCGCGCATTAATCTTTAATTTGATAGAAAAAAATTAAGACTCATCGAAGTCATCCGGTCTTCTTGAGAGGTCCGCAAGGGAGAACGTGATTTAAATCTTCATATCCGAGTGTTGGGACGCAACTAGACGTAACTAGCGCCTTCAGGAATATCAATTTAATCATAACGCTATACGTGAAATACAGCTAAAATATTAATGCACATACAGAATACCAGAATTGATATCGGAAGAAAATCGCTCGAATAAATAATCGGAGAGAATAAAATCTCATATACTATTTGCCACTGAAATAATTACGCACTTGTAAATACTTGTATTGTAAATTGTGTTAAGTGTACTATGAAAATTTCTTTTATTCAATTCTTAATCAATTTAAATTAAATATTTAATTGTAACGTTAGGTTATCATCTATCTTGGAAATATCATCTATCTTTTTTTCTATTTAGCTTTTATCATCTATCTTGGAAATCCTTGGAAGTAAGGAATACTACTTATAGACGTATTGCTTTATAATTTGCATGTACAAGAATACGAAGTTTCTTACTTTTGTTTTCGAATGATGTTCAGCTCGACTTCCTGTTCTATATCGATAGAAGTTATGAAAGTTACGAAGTTGAAACTAAAAACTCTACATCCTTCTCAGTAGAACCTAAGAATATTTATGTACCGTCTTATACACGGGTCTTGCTCTACATTTACTTGGTTCTTCTCCGCAATACGTATTACATCTTTCAACCGAGGAAAGTTTTCTATTTGGGAAAAGGAATCGGATACTACCTCGGTCTTATAACTTTCATGCTTCTGTGATCATTGGAGAATAGAAAGAGGAGCGGACGCGCGGATGCACCAGCCGTTCAGCTCTCTGAAGGATAGGTCATGAAGTACTGGGGGTACTTTGCAGAGAAAGGGGATGAGCGACGAGGCGCATTTTCCGCTTTACTTACTGCCTGAGGCGTCGACCGCCAGGAAGAGGAGACAGGCGGCGAAGACGGCCGCCCTCGCGAGCCCCATGGCTTTCTCTCTCCCCGGGTACCGCAAACTACTTTAGCACTACTCTCGCACAATCAGCGGTGACACGATCGGCGGCCACGGGCGAACACGACAAAAGCGTCTGCGCTTTTCGTCGTGCGTGCTTTTATGCTCTCGCAGCTCCCCACCCGTGCTTTATAAATCTTTCCTATGCATGTTGGGCCACTCATATGTCCGCCCGGGACCGAGGGCTCCACCGCGACGCAAGAGATAAAAAGAGATCTCTTTACCCGCCCCACAAGAAAAGGCGAGTGTTGATCGGTGAAAGCGACTTATCAAAATTTTCCTAGCGTGATTAGATCCGAAACGAACGCCGTCTAGATGCACTTGTTTGACTTTGTTCCAAAAGATACGTTTTATCACGAGGAGGCTAGTTACAACTTAGCTACATCTATTTCCCGTCACTCCTCCTTTCTGCGATCTCATATCAAATACATACGAAGTGGACTATAGACTATATAATACACGGAAAGAATAATTTTGCTGGAAGGTCTAAAAATTTTGTTAGATATGAATCTGAAAATAATTTTATTGAAAACTTATTGTTAAGCATATAAATAATAAGCTGCAGTAAAACGATGATTTGATATTCTAGCAACCAGTTTGAATTTCCAACAAAATTATTTTTATGGACTAACAACATTATTTTCAGATTTGTATCCAGCAAAATCTTCTAGTAAAAACGTTTTTTTCATGTACAAAAATATTTAAAATAAAAGTATACAGTAAAAGTTTCTCATTTTTTTATTTGAACACAAAACTAAATTTACAGAAAAAGATTGATAATACACACTATTAACAATATTTTGAAAAAAATTATATACATTAAGAATATTTAAGCATATGAAAAGATCGAGGTAAACGTTCTAGTCTTTTTGAGATCACCATGGTAAGAGGGCAATTTCATGAATCCTTTTAAAACTAGGGAGACTTTTACATTTCGTCATGTGTTAGACACATGTGTAACACATGACAAAATTCGTCTTAACCGAGATTTCTTTGTCTAGACATAAGTTTTCTATTTCGTTCGAACTATGAATCTGAACTAGTCATTCAAATATCAGTTTTGTATTGACATCACATATCAGAACATTATCTTGTTAGAAGAGGAAGTGGATCCACATTTCCTTTACAGATTTTTCTAAATTTTTATTTACAATCTCAATATATTCTTCGCAGCATTAACATTAAATTCGTCAATTCCAGTTCAAATATAATGTTTTTATATTTTTATTATGTCATAATATTTTTATCACGTATGTTTCAATTTTTTATGCTTTTTCTTTTTTTTTAAAAACTTTCCTTCTAACAACTCATACTTATTTTTCTTCATGTTACATAACTTTTTTTTTTCAAAACGAAAGATATATTTTTTTCGTTCTCTTTAATTTAAGAATTTACAAATAACGATATGATTAAGCGAATTTGCGTCATTTAATATCGGGTGTATTTAATAAATTATGATGCAATTGATTAGAAATTTATTTTTTGCGAAAAAAGTGACAAATATTTAATAAATTTTTTCTAATTACATGTTTTTTTGTTTTTTCTTTTTTAAGAAAAAAATATTTTTTTTTAATGTAAAGCTAAAAGCGTAAAGTGGAATCTAATTTAACGGCCTTTCACACGTACGTCTGCCAATCCGTAAGACACACGTCATATGACCTTAGGGTGTATTTACATATTTTATATACTCGGTATGATATCAGGTACTGATATCATTGTTAGTTTACACTCATCTTTTATAACTTTACATGCCGAATTCGTACAAATACACTGTTCTTGACCGAATATACCGAGATTAGAACTTTAAAAAAAACGATACCGAGCCGTCATGTGATATACGATTATTTTTATCAAAAATTTTTTATTAAACAATGAAATATAAGATTTTCTCTCTTTTTTTCATTACTTCAATAGACATCCATTTTTATTTACATAAAGATGTTTACACGGTTATGAAATAATATTTCATATTTATGTAATTAAACAATAATAAAAGTAACATACTAAACGAATAATGAAAAGCAGTTTTTTTAGCCACAGTTTGTATATTACTTTCAGTTTGCATAAATACGCTGTAATGTATGTAGATATGATAATGTTATTAAGAAGAGATGACTTCTCGCATTTATTCACGTTTAATTTCTCTATCTAAATTAGCATTATTTGACTGCGATTGATAATAACTCACGATTATTTAATAGACTTTGGTTAAATGATGTTAAATTTATAAAGGACACAAATAACTTTTATTTAAAAATTTTCAATTTAATTTAATTTAATTTTCTTTGATATATACTTACACTATAATTTAAAATGTGATATCAAGCATGGTTTGCTAATTGATTGTATAATAATTGTATAAGTATTAATGTTTTATTATCCATTCTTTATTAACAATATTTTGGAAATGTTTGAATGCAAAAAACAAATAATTTCTTTTTTAAACGCACGTGCGGGTACGCTCCATTTATTAAAATCGAAAAATGAGTGTTATATATATATATACACATTATATAGATATATTTTAAATTTACACAATTTGCTGTAGAATATTTTTTGTTCGAGTTCAGTTAGTAAACATATTTAGAAAAACTCTAATTTGTTTTATTTATTTTAGACACCATTTTGCATATTAATTATATTATTAAATATATAAATAATAAATTAATACTCTTTGTCTCTCTCTCTCTCTCTCTCTCTCTCTCTCTCTTAATATTTTCAATTTTTAAAAGATTTGATTATTGAAATTACTCTCTGAATTTTTAAACACGGAAAAAATATTCTTTAAATTTCTCTTCCATACTTCAAATACTTACATACTTATCTTGTACATGTTGCTAGGTTGACATTTTATCGGACAGCGGAAATAGTAATGGTCTACCTCCAGTGGTTCCCGCAGTACCACTGGATTTAATATTCATTTTTTTAATACGAAATGTTTTTATATCACTTAAGTCATTTGATACATTAAATACACGCACACAGAGAATAATAAATTTTACATACTAATGGGCGTTTATAGATTTTTCCATGAAATAATAAAAAAGACTCTCTGATATTCGAGAGAATTCGGACAATTATATCTGCTCGTTACACTTTTCACGGATCGATATATATAAGTCGCTCATTTCATTCCAGACTAAAAATATAAAATATCGATTCTCGTTTAATATACCTGCAGAAATTTTATAATTCTTTTAAAAATGATTTTCGTATCTGGGTAATATATAAAGAAACTAGGTTTCATGAAAATAAATTTAATCATAATATGGTTTAATCGCGTTATCGTGAACGGCAGTAGAAAAGCAAACAAGCTCGTAGTTACCGAGATTGTGAAAAAAAGCAACGAGTGTTCAGACTAGTGTCATACACGTCATACGTGTTTTTCTTTTTACGATTCTCGCAAACATCGAAAATAATATTCGGTGTTGGAAAAGTCAATCGCAATTTCACGCACGGCGACAACTAGAAATTTTAGATTCGCAAAATATTATTTCAAGATATCGATACTTGTAGTCTGAGTACTTCTAGAAGAAATAACTATCTATCTAACTTGAGATGTCTCACGCAAGCGGAGAGAAGATTGAACAAAGCAAAGAAGAAAATACGAGACGTAAAGCAAAATGGTTATTTGCGAGCGCTTAATTAGACAGTCTCGTTTAAAATAAACTAAATTAAATGAACTAAAAGTCGTTTCTATGCCGAGGCATCAATAGCTGCGAAGCTTTCAACACCGAGAATTTTAGAAAGTTTTGATATTTTAAATCGGTTGTCGAAATACCTATACGTGAACTTTCAATCTATCAATCAATTTTAATGCAATGTTACCTTAATGGGAATTGTATCATTTCAGTTTAATAAATAGAAACTTGTGCGACAAAATAATGGTCTTTGATTGAATTATTATTAATGAAAAGCCGATACTACATATGTATAAATTAATTATATCCAATTTACAGTTTGAACGCCATTTGATACATCCTATATGTCACACTAAACCGAAATAATTAATTCATAATTTGTCATTTACGTAATTTCAGACGATAACACAAATATGTATGTATATTATATGTAATCTAAACTGTACTATTTTCTCTTACATTAAATAGAAAACACGATACCGCATAATTGACAATGATGATTTTGGTGCAAGTTACACATATTTTTCAATTTAAAAGATTTATACAAAATTATGATTAAAACTTAATAATAAAAATGATAAAAGTGTAACGTTGAAGACAAAATATATATTTCAGCGAAGCGCCTTTCCATTCGACTTTCCAGAATGTTTAGATAAGAAAAGCGCTATCTCTGACAGTGAACTCTCGTGATCTCCGTCGATCTTTATCGATATCGCGTTCAACTCTTCGTGCAATGACGATCAAACAGCGGCACCGATCATTGCAGACGCGGGTATACTCGTGCAAGATGCCACGAGTACGTCGACGACGGAGAACGACTCAAATAGTGCTCGCTTTTTTTTTCTCTCGGCGGATCAACGGTCACCGTGTTATCGGGCTTAAATTATCCGGCAAACTTGTAACTAACATTGGCATCTGGTGCTTCGGCGGATCAATGACGGAGGACGTATAAAATCGTACGCCGGGAGAGTTCGCGATGTAGAGAAGGGTGGATGGTAGAAATCGGACGCAGGAGATTTAGCGCCGATGGAATTTTAAAATAAACGAATTGCGATATCTCTTCCTTGTTCGCAACTTTTTATTTGCCACTATAGTATGCCGGGCAACTACCGATATACAGGGAGGTCCGATTATACGAGGCAGCTCGCACGGCACGGATACGAGAAAAATGTTTGCTCAACGCGGATATCCTGAATCTCTCGCGTCCCATTAATCTGCCGACCTTTTCCTATTTCGGCGTTCTGTATTTTAGGATTACGCGCGACGCGGTGGTCCCATCGTGACGTCCGGGCCCCAGCGTAAATTATAATAAATACAACGGCTTCTGGTAGCGTAGAATCCATGTTGTCGATTTGCATTAACCGCGTTGTTAGGTATTCATTGCGGGATTATCAATCACGAGTTAGTACACAACATAGTCATACGGCGGGATCGCCGTGGGTTGCCCGTAGAGGGTTACAG